TATTTACTTCTTCTTACTTCTTTATACTGAGGAGATGATTATTATTCTCTCACTGATAAATTCAAAAACTGGCGTAAAAGCAGCAAGAAATGCGCACTGCGCAGGAGGAGTCAACAGTGCTGATCAGGCCAATCTGTCAATCTGCTGTCAACTCGATGTGTTGTGACATCAGGTTACATGTAAGGTCCCAGCGTAGATTTCCCATTGAAGCATAAACTGGGAATGAGAAGTGAGCCATCTTAATATTGCAGTAAAACCAGGGTAACTGAAGTTACCTGGATGAGACTAAATCCTGGTTCACAGTGCAGACCTCTGATCACTGATGATGGAGGAGAAGAAAAACAAATCAGGCTGAATGTAAAACATTTGCTCTGCAGGACTGAGGTCTTTGTTATCACCACTGGGTGATGGCACTGGTGCCTCACAGCAACAAGGTCCTGGGTTTGAATCCAGCACAAATTTTACACAAAACACAACATGTTTGTCATGTAGATATGTTACAGGGCAAGTTTTAAAATTGCGTTTTGTGACTTTTTTGCAATGTCTTTGGTGTATAAATGCCTCAAGTCTTAGTATATCACTTAAAACTTTATTTACATAGCACTTCTCACACAGTAAAGAAGACACTCAAAATGATGTACACATTAGAAGCAGAAAACAATACACATACATCAACCTACGCCCTCTCATCACCCCTCCATCCCCACTCCCACACCTAGAGATCAGCACTCACTTAGCATACAGAAACACAGGAGATGAAAAAGAAATGATAAATAACATAACAAGGCTACTATGGTCAGATTAAATATATTAAAAAGTGAAAAAACAAATGGTGCAAAAAAGGAAATAAATGAATAGTAAATTACAATAAAGAGACACAAAACCATAAAATGGAAAAAGAAACGTAAAAGATTTTTTAACATTCTAACATTTTAAAGTTTATCTATGGCTTCTATGGTCAACCAGCTGTTGAAGAATTGGGATGATATGGTCTCTAGTACGAGTAACCTAAACTTATCAGATGGTGTGGAGCTGTTACCATGCTGGGGTAATGAAATGTAACTCAAACATGTTCTGATATTAAACTAAAGAAATGAATTCACTTTCAGTCAAACAAGTCAGTCAGAGGGCTCTCCTGCTTGCTGCTCTTCCTCAGCCCCGCTTCCAGTCCCTGAATCAAAATACAATTTTTTCAATATTTTTCATCTTTCAGATTGAAAATAAGAAAAAATGAAAGAAATGGGAAAGACAGCTGCTGTGTTTGTGTGTGCAGAGTTTCTACCAGAGCCAAATGTCATCGACTCCTCACTGAAGTCGTCCACCAGTCCAACCACTGGGATCCAG